TCCAGAAAGCCTCATAATTCGGGGTTGCCTAACTGCCGCGTGATTAACATTGGTGTTACTTGCTCTGCAAGTAAGTAGTACCCTTATTAGAACCACATTAATGTCTTAGCATGCTCGAGTATACTTGGGACTCTATAAACCTTTTCAAATTGGTTGGCCAACCATTTCTCTTGAAAGTTCCCTTTCTTCCTTTAAAACTAAACCTTTGAAAACCCAGATCGTCACTCCAGTATTCCTTGGAGAACAAGAAACAGAGGAATGTCGGCTCTGATACCAAAATGAAATGACCCGATCCTTTTTGAAAACCAAACCATAACTCAAACCACAAACCGGTTACTCTGGAGCAACCCAAAACAGGTTTTCAAGTGAAATGCCCTAAACATTTGGGCGACCTCAATCCAGAGCAACAAAAAATAAAACACAATCCTTGTGTTTCCCAGTATACTCATTAAGACATGAAACTAAAGACAGATATATGGGAAGTCCCATTTCATTACCCAGATCTAGTTGATATCTTCAGGTTTGCCACGGCTGCTCTCCTCGAGTAACCTACTCTTGATGGATGCGTCCTCTTCCCCTGTCTGCACCTGGTGAGTGAGAAGGGTTCATTCTCATCGTTACTTGCTAAGGTCTTCGCCCTAAGAAACGCCTCACTAAACACGGGAATGAACCCTTCCCACTCACCAGGTGCAGACAGGGGAAGAGGGTTCTTGACTTGGACAAAAGTCGTTCTCGCTTTCATCCCTTATACTTTGTTATCCAACAGTTTATAAGAGATCTCTACTCCTATCTTAACCTTAGAGCTTCCTTACTTATATTCTTAACCCATAGACACCAATAGTAGGGACCATCGCGTTACATCTCGTCGTCCGGTTTCCCTACCCTAGTATGCCAACCGCGTTACGTCTCGCCGTCCGGTTGCATACCCAAACTCGGCAATGGCACTGCGTTACGTCTCGCCGTCCAGTAGTGACCCAAACTCCCGGGGGTTCATCTTACCATCAACCAACTATTACAATCATACATTCATACATAGCACAACGCGTACCTCCACCCTTATAGGCGGTGGGATGCCTCACACACATATCGCGCTTTACTAAAAATTTAACAAATTAATAACTTGAACGAAAAGCATAAACTAAAAGACCTACGACATATATTTTACCCCCTTTACATTCACCTCGAAAAGATGACTCCTCGATTCCTTCTTCGACGAAACCCCTCCTTAGCTGGATTATATTGGGGAAACCTATTAATAAGAATCCATTTTCTTAGACGACCTTTCATGATTTAAAACCCCTTTTGAATCACTAGAACATCTTCTACTCAAACTCGAGTCCTCGAGGCTCATTCCAAAGGTCCCTCAACCCCCATTAAAATTTTTATAGAATTAATCCCTTCAAAACCGATCATTTTTCTTAATTGTCATTATCTTGGACGAATTTTTCACCTAACTTCAACCTTCTTAAAATTTTGGATAATAATTTTCCTACGTCAATCATGAGCACCTATACCCTAGAAAATTATCAAACTCTTAAAAACCAGTCGAAAAGATTTTTATTTAATTAAAACATATATTTGAAAAATTCCTAAAAATAGAAATACATCTTCAAAAATTCCCAAATTAAATTAAAACCATCTCCTAGATGTCCATTAATTTATAAAATTGTTAACTCCAGAAAAACCTTCAGAGTAGCTCGAAACAATTTAAAACATCTAAAAATACGTTTCTGGAAATTCCGAGCAGTTTTAGTGACCAACAATAATCTGTCACTAAAAGCCTGTAAAGCCTATTGCTTAAAACTCAGTGATGCAATATCGACTAGCACGATATTTAATTCTCGTGGACCAAAAATGAAGATTCGAATTTATCGATATAAGGATCAATTGGGAGCATTCTTGATGGATAAATTGTGTTCACAATCTATTTGTTGCTGCCAACTCAAGGAACACGTGAGTTGGAATTCATTCCATTTGATGGAAAATGACAAAGTGGAAAGCTTTCATTTGATGGTGGCTTGCGTGGGGGAAATTAATCAAGCAAGCAGTTCAAATTGTGCAGCACGTGAATCATTGCATGAGCTGGTTTATTTGGTAATCAATTAAATAAGTGGCTGGTTGTTTAATCGTGTGGAGAATCATGATGCATGATCATGGTAATTAAGAAGAACGTGATGTCCAATGGAAGGATTAGATGTTGGCGGGTTGATTTCCGCAGCAGCAAAGGAAAGGCAGAACTCATTGTCCCCCACACGGAGAAGGAAACTTGCACCGGCCATTTTTGGAGTTTATTTGTAGTTTATTTATTTGTTAAAGTAGTATTAAGTTACCTTGTTAGTTTGGGATTTGTTTTCCTATTCTTTTTAGGTTAGTTTTATGTTTTTGAGACCTCTATAAATAGAGGATGTAAGAGCTACGAAATTTGTACCCAATACCCATTATCCAAGTTATTAATCAAAGTTGAGTTCTAGTTCATTGTGAACGAGTTCTTTTGTGCAAGACTTCTGTCGAGGATTCCAGGAGATTGTACGTGTCTCTTATCAACTAGAGAACGCGTCTAGTTGTGGCGAGCATCGACCTATATCAATTGCCCCTTTCCACGAGTTGATTCTGTCCGATTGGTTTAATATACCAATTGCCCTTTGTCACGAGTTGGGATTGTCCGATTGATTCCGCATCTATATTTTATTTCAAGTTGGAGAAAAGCTTCGAAAATCCTTAAAAAGAAGGAAGGCTGCGTACTTTGGTCATATAATCCGAGTTCAAGGATTCTCTTCGGATTTGGATCATATCACTCAGAATTCTACCCTCACGAAAAATCACTAAATCAATTGACCTAACTTAAAGGGATCGAGTTATCTTACCTCTAGAACGTTCCTAGGACTAGATTGGATGACCCAGGACATTGATCTCCTCGTTGATCGAACCCTCAAACGCCATCGCTAATAAAATACGAGCTTCAGATTAGACTACCGATGAATCGAGTTTAGAAATCGCGAAGGGGTTCGTAATCCTTACCTAGAAACACGAAAGGAACGGCGTCGGGGTCGGGATCAGTGTCGGGATCGGGGTCGGGGTACAGGGAGCCGGCGGTAGGAAATAAACAAAAAAGATAGGGCGGTGTTAAATTCTGGGGAAAAGTCACAGAGAGGGCGGGTTTTTTTTTTTTTTTTTTTTGCTGCTGCTGGGGGAGATTTTGTGCGGGGGCAATAATAAGGAATGGCCTCTCGGCCCTTCCTGGTCGAGTAGGGTTTACACTATTTTTTTATATATATAATAATAATAGTTATTATTATTATTATTATTCTTAATCCGCGGTTGTAACTTTTAGTATGTAACCGTTAAACTAACCGCTCATTAAATATGGTCGAACCCAAATCTAAAATACCGGGGTGTTACAGCCTTCTACGGTATCCCGGGTGAAATCCGGGGTACCGCATACCTTGAGTATGAAAACACTATTTAGACCTCTAATTAGCATAATTTTTGGGCATGATACTATACCCTAACCCTTAATGAGTGAAATCTAGATCCTAATTACCTAAATCATAAACTATAAACCCAAAGATGTTGCATTCATTTTTTTGCCTATATTTTGACGAATCATAACCATCAATTATTGTTTCTAATTAAATTGATCTTGGGGCATAAGATTTAGAGAATTAAGGTCTGGATAGTGTTTTCATACTCAAGGTATGCGATACCCCGGATTTCACCCTAGGTACCGTAGAACTCGCCGTACTATATATATATATATATATGGCAAAGGCTAGCGTACGTCAGTCGTACGCTGTATGCCTGTGTTCACACTTGGTTTTTGCACTTCAATATATTTCGCTGAACCTAGCCTGAACCATATATATATATGGTGCCTTCTACGGTACCCCGTGTGAAATTCGAGGTACCGCATATCTTGAGAATGAAAACGCTATCTAGACCTCGAATTAGCAGGATTTTTTGGGAATGATATTAAACCCTAACCCTTAATGAGTGAACCCTAGGTCCTAATTATCTAAATCATTAACTATAAACCCTAAGACGGTATATTGATTTTTCGCCTATATTTGGATGAATCATAACTGTCGATTATTGTTTCTAATTAAATTGATCTTGGGGCATAAGATTTGGAGTATTAAGACTTAGATTTTGATCTTTAAGGGTTATAGTACAGTATCATGTCTGAAAGATCAGTTAATTCAAGTTCTTGATAGCGTTTTCTTACTCAAGGTATGCGGTACCCCGGATTTCACCCTGGGTATCGTAGAACTTCCCATATATATAGGTTACACCCCGCTCTTCCCAAAAGTCAAAGTTACTATTATACCCTTGGGTCAAGTTCCACCGTAATATTGAGGAGGACTAAAAATGCGCTCTCTCAATTCAAACGTAGTCGAGTTTCGACATAAATTGAATAAGTTACAGACGTTAATTAGTTGAGTTTTGGATTAAACTCACCCTTAATTTATGAAATGTCCAAAATACCCCTTGAACTAATTAAAACTCAAGCAAACCCTAAATCTCATTCCCCACCCACGTAAATCCTCCTCCCATTATCTATTCCCCACGAAGAATCCTCAACCCTAAGCTAGCAGCTCTCCCTCCAAGCTTCTCTCCAGGCACAAGAAGAGCCACCAAAAAAATTATATTGCTCCTCCAACAAAGCCAGAAGCCTAGCAGCGATGACCTGGGAGTAGTCAATTTCCCGCAGCTTCCTACGTTGTCTACCATCAAACTACTCGTCCAATCGAGAAGATGCTTCTGGCGCTGCGAGCATCTCCGTTGTTGAAAGACTTGGTAGCTTGGCGTTGACTTAATGTAGGGTGGAAGACGGAATTTACGATGGAGGGATTTACTTGGAACAGTTTGGAAGAATTTGAGACGCAGGGAATAAATTGAGGGACCGGAATTATTGGTAAGGGGAGAAGCAGCCGGCATTGATCGAGGAGTGGAAATGGCTTTGTAGAGGGATCTTTATCTATTGATCTCTTGCTGCATCCTTGATGATGATGGAGCGAAAGAACCAGAGAGATGATGATGGATATAATCAGGTGCCGCCACCTGCAGCAGCTCCATCTTATGATAGTGGTGGAGAATTGAAAGAGTTGTTCGGTGGAATTGGACAAGTTGGAATTTCATGGAAGGATGGAGCACACGTGGACATCTCAAGAAAGGAGACGCAATGGTTAAAGCAATTGGCCTAGGGTAGTTGGCTTAAGGCGACTTGATCATTAAGGTGAGTGTAAAGGGGTAAATTCTACGCCTTACGTGTTCTTTTAAGTATTATGATTTTAAGTATTTTAGCGAATTGATTACAGTTGCTTGATTATGTTTATGATTGATTATTTGTGCTTTGCTTGAGCTATTGATTTGAGGTGATTTTGTGCTATTTGAGGTGATTCGAGGCGATTTTGAGCTATTTACCTTAAAGCGTTATGTTATGAGTTATTGTTAAAGTTTAAGAAACAAGTTCTTTTTAAAAAGTAACTCACCTTCAAGATGGTGAAGTCGCTTTAAGTGTTTTTAGTCACTAGCGCCAGTTCATTGCAATATGAGATTTTCAGATAGAGCAGCAGTTATGCTCTTGAGATCTTTGAGACAGAGCAGCAGTTATGCTCTTGAGATATTTAAATTGAGCAGTAGTTATGCTCTTGAGATTTTTAAGATGAGCAGCAGTTATGCTCTTGAGAATCGTGGAAGAAGAGTCTTCCACGATAAGTTTAAGTTTAAGGAAAGCCTTGATGGCTTCTCATACGTAAGAGTTGGCAACCAGACTAGCTAGTGAGGGATCCACGTGTCAGTCAAGAATTTAAGTTGAGATTTGAGCTTTAAGAATACAGTTTTAAGAGTTAAGATTTTTAATGGTGGAAGTATGAAACAACTTCTACTAACTTAAGTAAAGTGATCAAGTATTAATAAGATGTTAAACGTAAGGGCGTAGACTGACTCCATCTCACTCACCAGTTTGAAGAGCTAGAGGAGCAGTTAGTGAGCAGCGAGTTCGAGGGCAGTCAGCTAGAGTAAGCGTCACGGAGGATGCTTAGTCAAGGTTTTTAGTAGCAACAACTTTAGAGATTATTAGTTATTTACATTTATGATTATGAGAACAGACTGGAGATCATTTTGAGATTTTAAGTATTGAGTTTGCCCACTTGTTAGGGGTTTGGTTTGAACTACAAGAGTGTGTTTTCAGTATTTTATTATGATCTGTTTTCTCGCTGCAATTTAAGATTTGGTTATTTTATTTTTCAAGGGCATTTTAGTAAAAGTAGTACCCGGCCGGGTTAGGGTGTTTCATTTTGGTATCAGAGCCGGTCTTCCTTTGTTCCTTGGTCTCCAAGGAATACTGGAATACCGATCTCAGTTTTTAAAGGCTTTTATTTTAATCCCACAAAAAAGAACCCGCATTAATGCTGACCGTTGAGATGGACGTGGACGGTGGAGATTGTTGGTGTCCGACATTAGAGTTGAACAAACACACCTGCAAACCCACCCATCCGTCCAACCCGACCCAACCCACCCGTATTTATAGCTAAAATGAAGATTTTGGGTTGAGTGAGGGTTTTATTTTGCACAACCCGCCTCTTTTGGGTTGGGTTTGTATTTTGGATTACACAACCCGTAGAACCCGACCCAACCCGTGTTCCAACTATTGGTATGAGTTTGTATCCAAAAAATATTTATGCCGTATATAGCCATACTTATGAGAAAATTAAGATATTTTGCCATGTTTTTCTCTCATGGTCTCCCTAATCTAATGCATTCTTTGACTTAAAGTTTAGACATAAATTTAATGTAGCTATAATTCACGTAATCCTTTTTCTTGTGTACAATTTTAATAGGATAACATATTATGGATGCGTTCGTTTATAACATTTTTGGCCTATTTCAACAAATGTCGTGAAAAAAATTAGACATATGTTGAAGTAAATCACATTTTATTAAAATTCAAACAACATTTGTGAATTTTGATACATTTCACATTGGTTTATTCGTTTGAGATTTTAATTAGTTATAAAATATTTTTATGGTGTAGAATAATTATATATTTTTGTGTTGGGTTCGGTTTTTATTTAAAAATATCGCCAACCTAATTAAAAACAAAATATAGGGTTTAAATTTTTTTGGGTGGGTTTGGATTTAATATTTGCCAAACCATAGTGCATGGGTCGGATGATTAAAATGGCTAAACCCGGACCACCTGACCCATGTACACCCATATCCGACATACCCCAATATATGTCTGGTGTACGATAGAAGTCACCATATATATATATGTATATATATGTATGGTAATGACTGGTGTACGTCAGGCATATAGTATACAGCAGGTGATCTAACCGTTAGATGTACTTAGATGAGCTCTGGCCGTCAATTTATGTTTTTCATTAAATCAAACTCCGGGTTGGGGTTTAGAAAATTGGTGCCCGAGGTTTATCCATTAGAAGCGTCAGTTTATAAGATTTAAAATGCGATTTTGACTACATTGATTACCATATATATACATATGGTGCCTTCTACGGTACCACGGGTGAAATTGGGGATACCGCATACCTTGAGTATAAAAACGCTATCTAGACCTCGAATTAGCAGGATTTTTGGGCATGATATTATATCCTAACCCTTAATGAGTGAACCCTAGGTCCTAATCATCTAAATCATAAACTATAAACCCTAATATGGTGCATTGATTTTTTTGTCTATATTTGGACGAATCATAACCCTCGATTATTGCTTCTAATTAAATTGATCTTGCGGTATAAGATAATTGTTGATACTGCATGCTACTTGTTCTGTGATTAACTAAAGAGCCTTTTGATCACCTAAATCAAACCTAATCGGGTATTTCATATTATACTTACCAATTTCGTAATTCCCAAATTCATTTAGAGGTTAAGAGTAAAATAATGTAGTAAAGATTTAACATTTTTTAGAAAGATTTAACCATTTTATAGACACAGATCATAACATTTTTTTTAAAAGAAGTAATAAGAAACTTGCAAAGAAATTGAAAAAAAAAGTTTAAGAACTATATGAAATATCTCTTGTAAACTCATGATACACAATTTCATAAACATTCCACTATTAAAATGAAGTAGTCAAGATTTAGCTATTTATAGAGAGAGATCATGATGTTTTTTAAAGAAATATAAAGCCACCTAGAAAGAAATTGACAGGAAGCTTGAATACATGGAAAACTAATATAACTAAGCTAAACAATCCCGTCACACGGAGGTAGGGATAAATTAAACTAAGCACAAAAATAGAGCAGAGTCAAAGGTTTGAACTGGATACCTCCTGATATAAACTCTACCAGTTTATTCTCATAACCAGTACGCCACCAAAGACTAAATTTCCTATTATTGCGTTTTGTATAATTTTGACAATCTTGGGGGGGGGGGGGGGGGTGCATGCCCCCGATGCACACGCTGGCTCCATCCCCTGTATGTATGTGTATATGTGTAGTGATATGTTCTCAATTGGTTAATAGATTGTGATGATTATGTGTATGGGCTGAAAGATAAATGTGAATCTAAATGATTGGTTATGTTGGGAAAAGGAAGCAGGAATGGGGTTTGACTTCACCAGACATTATGTTTGTGATATGTTAGTTTTTACTCATTGAGATTACGTATCGCCCGCTTCAAAATTTTCCCTAGATTAGAAGTTTTGGACTAGAAGTAACTAAAACTCAGCAAGACTCAGCTCGTCATCCATGATGTGTGATGGCGGACTCGAACTTCGATATGACTTGTTTATAGTATTTTGAGAGAAGACGATCTTCTCTACTTTCATGTGTTTTGAAGTTTTAAAAGTTTGTATAATTATGGTTTGGTTTGTAAACTAAACATGTTTGTGAAAGATTATACTAAAGAATGACCTTGTAAATGTTTTAAAATATGTATGGGTGTTACACCAAACCTCCGGGAAAAGCATGAAAAAATACTCGAATGGTATGATCTCTCCTTCGCCCTAGAATGAAAGGGGCGATCTCGTAGTTCTTGGTAGGCTGGGAATGCCCGACTTATCAATTTATCTGGTAAACTTTTTGGAGCTCATTTAGCTCATGCAGGATTGATCTTATTCTAAGTTGGAGCAATGAACCTAATTGTTGTGGCTCATTTAGTATCGAAGAAGACAATGTATGAAAAAAAGACTAATTTTACTTCCCCACTTAGCTACTCTAGGTTTGGGGGTAAGACCCGGCAGAGAAGTTATACACCTTTTCATACTTTGTCTCTGGCGTACTTCACTTAATTTCCTCTATAGTATTAGGGTTTGGTGGTATTCATCATGCACTTTTGGGACCCGAGATTCTTGAAAAATCTTTTCCTTTTTTGTTATGTATGGAAATATAGAAATAAATGACAATAATTTTAGGTATTCATTTAATTTTGCTAGGTATAGGTGCTTTCTTCTAGTATATAAGGTTCTTTTTTTTGGGGGGGCGTATATGATACCTGGCTCCTTGAGAATTTAAGAAAAATTACCAACTTGACTCTTACCTAAGTATTATTTTCAATTATTTACTAAAATCTCCTTTTCGGGGAGAAGGGTGGATTATTAGTATGAACGATTTGGAAGATATAATTGGAGGCCATTTATGGTTAGGTTCCACTTGTATATTTGGTGAAATCCGGCATATCCTAACCAAACCCTTTGCATAGGCTCAGCGTGCACTTGTTTGGTCGGGAGAAGCTTACTTGTCCAATAGTTTAGGTTCTTTAGCTATTTTTGGTTTCATTGCTTGTTGTTTTGTCTGGTTCAATATTACGGCTTATCCGAGTGAGTTTTATGAACCCACTAGACTAGAAGCTTCTCAAGCTCAAGCTTATACTTTTCTAGTTAGAGACCAACTTCTTTGGGCTAATGTGGGATTAGCTCAAGAACCTAAAAGTTTGGGTAAATATCTAATGCGTTCACTTATATGAGAAGTTATTTTTAGGGGTGAAAAGATGGCATTTTTTGGGATCTGCGTGCTCCCTGGTTAAAACATTTAAGGGGCCTAAATGGTCTAGACTTGAGTAGTTTGAAAAAAGATATACAACATTGGCAAAAACGGTGTTTTGTGAAATATATGACTCATGCGCCTTTAGCCTCGTTAAATTTCTTAGGTGGTGTAGCTACTAAGATCAATGTAATGAATTATGTTTCTTCGAGAAGTTGGTTAGCTACCTCTCATTTTGTTTTCGGGTTCTTCCCA